TCACCACCCAGGGCAGCCATCCCATGACCTAGAATAATGTGTCCCTGTGTGTGTTTAGAAATCCCCTGTAATATGTTGTCAAGCAACGAAAATGTTTTAGGATCATTCCAACCATTCATTTTTGTTTGGAGAAGAGTAGAGTTGTTTGTTTGGGGGGAAAAAAAAGGAAAAGGAAGAAGGACACAATGCAGGCTTAAAGGTTAATGAAAATGAAAAGGGAGTGTGCACATTCATGTCGATAGTCTCAGATCACATTCCAGTAATTTAAGAGTTGAGCACAGCAGACTTTGGACAGAGTCCCTGGCTGTCATCAGAATTTCAGTTTCTCAAAGTTTCTACTGGTGATGTTGGGTTCTAAGGAAGGGTGTGTGACAGGGAGCAGACATCTCCCCGTCCACATTCCATGCAGTGCTACTGCTCCTTTGCTTTGAGTGTGGAATGGGGGTGGTCGAAGGGGGGGGGGTACAGTTTGAGACATCTTGCAAGTATCTCTGAAGCACTCATAATTAGCATTGAGAGTAAAAAGCCCAAATATACTACACTGGGAAAAAAATTTGTTCAAACATCAGATCAAGCATTCTTGTTATATATCTTTAATGTTAAAAAGAGAAAGTGTGAACATAATGTAATTATATCCCATCTTCACCCCTCCTCACCCACCTTCCTTCTTTAAAGACTTTAAACAAGTTGTCTTTTTTATCTGTCTGTTTTCTTCTTTTTCCCTCTCAAGATCCCAAGCATCTCCATACCCCCAAACCCAACATCCAGTGCTAGTCCCCATCTAGTCCTTTCCAGCCTCTTTTGTGATGCTCTTACTTTCTGGGCCCTCAATGCTATAGTATACCAGAATTCAATGCTAGATGTCCTCTCATTTTTATAGTCCTATCTAGGTTTCTTCTAGAAAGATCCTAAATGATCTTCTAGAAAGAAAGGTTTCTAGAAGAAACCTAGATAGACTCCTTATCTAGAAAGAAAGCTAGATAATTCCATGCTAATGGTGCCATCATTTCTATCTCTGTACCCAATATCAGCCTGGAAGTCCAGACCACTTTGTTCAAGTAGCAACCCACCATCTTCAATCAGATGTTTAATAAACATGTCAAGCTTAACATACACCAAAGCAACTATTTTCTACTACAATCCTGAGCCTCCACCATCCAAGTAATGGAAACTTCATCATTCTGGAAACTTGAACCAAAAACCCTGCGGCCATCTTGGATCTTCACATTCTCTTCCCAACCCACCTCTAATTCATGGAAAAATTCTGTTAGCTCTATCTCCAAAAGATGTCCAATCTAACTAGTTCTTACCACCATCCAACTCATCCTACCTTATCTCCCTGCTTCCACCTTTGACTGTGAGTAGGCAGGGCCTGAGGAAGCCCCAGTGCACAAAGCCTTCCTGATATTTCTCTCTGAAGCTTCCAGTGCTCTAGCACAAAAGGCCCTTTGCTTTGTCTGCCTGAAATGCCATCATCATCAGTCCTGCCAACACCTCCTCAACCTTCAAGGTCCCTGCTCTCCCAGATTAACTGTGTCTTCATTTTATTAGCTCTGATGATACAGTTTCAGAGTTCAAGGGTGCATATCACTCTCTTAATGAGGGACTCTTACACACTGCCTTCTCCTTAGTCACCTATGGATGCCCTGCTCAGTGCAGACCTGGACAGAGTCAAATATTCAGTCAATATTTGCCATTTTACAAAAGCAGCTAGCACCCACCGGGCATTTACTATGTACCACTTTAGATGTGTTAGCTCACTTAATCTTCACAACAACCCAAAGAGATGGGAGCTGGTTTCATGACCATTTCACAGATGAGAGAACAGAGACCCAGAGATCAAAGTCACATGAAATGAGCACTGCACCCACACTTAACAGGCACACACAGTAAAAGCTCACTCACATGAGCCGCAAGGAAGATCAGTAATGATTCAAAAGTCAAATCTGAACTTTACTATTGTTCCTGGAGCACTGATGGCAGAAGGGAGTGAAGGTCATCAAAGCTGGCTCCTAGAAAGAGCCTTATTTCCCATGCCAATCTCCCACATCCAAAGGAGAGGTCACTGCTTGGGAGCAAGGGTTCCATGGAGGTGGACATTAGGAGAGGTAGTCTGAGAAAGGACACTGAGGCAAAAGCCTTTCCTTTACGTGGAGAAGAGAAGGATGTCCTATTCCTCAGGAATAACAAAGCAAAAGACCTGAGGGTGGAGTGGCTGAGAGTAGGCTGGGAACACGCTACAAGGTGTCCAGAGATGAAGGGTGAAATCCACTTTTAACCATTTTTCCACCAGGGCAAATGTCTGGCTCAGCCTTGCTTAGGAAACAAGGAACAGTGATGCTGCAAAGGACAGGAGAGAGGAAAGCTTGCATTTTAACAGAATCTTAATACCATAGGTTTGGCTTTTCATAACCACTTGGCCTTTGGACATATTCTGCAGTGAGTGGCAGCAGCAAATCACAGCTGCCCCTCAGAAGAAGTTTGAAACCAGATTGACTATTCACAGTCAAAGAGCCCAGGAAAGGGTCATCCTTTATCCTGCCTGCCCCCTGCCCCTGCTTCCTCACACAAACCCCTTAAGATGCCCTGCATGAGGTCCAGGACTCACCCACCTTGCGGTGAAGCGGAAATGTGAAAACAGATGAAAGCAGGTAGAAGGCAAGATGGAGGGGGGCAAGGTGGGGTGGGGGCAAAGTAGACTGTGATGGTAGACACACAGTGTTGGTGGTGGGTGCAGTGTGGTAACAACACCTGAGGGGGAGATCCTATGCTGCTAGGACACAATCAACAATGTAAACCAACATTACCTTGATTTAAAAAAAAAAAATTAGAAATAAGAACTAAAAAGATGTGGCCAAGAGGACTAAAAAAAGACAAGGAATTCAGCATGTGACTCTTTGACTGAGAAACATGTCATAAAACTGGATCAGACACAAACCCAGAAAAAGGAACCCCCAAGAGTCCAGCAGTGAACTCCATAGGGGAGAGGGATCAAAGAGAATTATCATCAAGAGTAAAAACAGAAAGAGCACCCCCAAAAAACACAGAGGAAGCAACAAGTTACAATTGAGAAGGGGTAAGAGATTTGGGGGGACAACTTTGATGATTTTCAACATCATTTTCATCAAGGCATTTTTCCTAGTTATCCCCACCACTGCCACACTAACAGAAAATAGGAAGCAGACACCAGGGCTAAAATCAAAAGCTGTAGATGAGAAGTCCCCTAAATTAGGCCCCAAGGCCTGAAAAAAAAAAAGCCCAGAGGTTCAGAAAGAAAGTACAAAAGTGGGGAGGCAGAGCAAGCATTCAAAAGTGATCAGAGAAATCAATATGTAACAATATGTAACAATTCTACACCATATTCTGTATAGAATACCCAACAATGCATAAAATCCAAGTCACATATTACAGGTGTTTAAACAGGTTTTGGTATTTGCACTCAAATGAACAATATCCATACGTTAGTATCACATAGACTGTTTTCAAGGATCTGATTCATTTTAAGTGAAAACTCAAAGTGTGTTTCTGATCCAGTGAATACTTAAGCATTTACATGTGTCTGACTTAGGACCTGCCTTTCAATCACTATGCCAAATACACTAAAAACTACTAGTGGCATAAAAATTGGGGGGTCTAAAAGAAAAATACCAGATGGTCTCACTCATAGCAGGAATCTAGAAAACTTAAATAAGGGACCAAGGAAATTAATAACTATAAGAAAGTGAAAATCAAAATCAACAAAAAAACTATGAACCAGAGACACTCTATGGGGGGTAGGGGGTGGGAGGGGAGGGATTGGGGTCAAAATAAGGGGGTTGCAATTGTATGGGGAATATAAAAATAAAATTTATTATAAAAAAAATTGGGAGGTCTAAAATCTGTCAGAGGCTTTTCTCAGGTTTCAGACACACATCTAAAGATTACTGTACTTTGTCACCATTGTAATCACAATAGAAAATTCCTTGGCAGTAACTTGCACACAGACACTCCACACAGATGACCATTTAAGTAAATCACAGAAAAAGGGCTTTGCATTAAGTTATTGAAGACAAGAAATATTTTTAACCAGAAACCCTTTTATCTGTAACAGTATGCACACCTTCATAATTGGGGGAAGAGGCTTACTGGGGGTGGGGGTTGGGGGGGGGTAGGAAGCAATCCTTATTAGTCCTTGCTAAACCCACAAAACTACCAGATCGTATCAGCTGAGGTGAGAGCTATATTCCCAGGGGCCCAGAATTTCATCAGAAACAAAAGCCTGCCTTCACAATTGACACAGTAATCATTAATTCAAAGACAATTGCTGACTGTCCAGTTTAAGTTCTGAAGCACCTTAGCGCAATTCCCCCTAAATGGAATAGCTTAAACAGAGTTCTCCGAATCGTCCAAGGAATTACAGAAATCGATTTCCTAAGAATTCTTGGGCGTCTAAGAATTAGTATTTTGAGCTTAGCCTCCCGCAAACTGAATTAAACACTTGACCAGTGCATGGGTCCCTTTGCAAGATGCAAGCCACTATTTCAGGTATCTCTACCCTAAAAGAAAAGGGATCCCTTGTCAACATTGGGGGGTGGGGGGTGGGTTAGGGGGACGCTCCTTGGGAAAACCGCTGACCCTGAGAACTGCCTGAAACTCTCTAGCCATTTCGTGCAGTTAAAACCAGTGGACACCCAACAGGGAGCCCAACATGCAGCGGCTGTCTCCACCCTGAAATGTGTCCTACTAAAACACACCCCTTAAGGTGCCCTAAACACACCGAGCCCTTATCTAAACGAAGCGGGAGGATCCCGTAACTTGTCCAGAAAGAAGACGCGGCGCCTTCCCGGGAGACCTGCTTCTGACAGCTCGCCCGCTGCAGCCTCAGCAGAGAGCGGAGAAGCCCCCGACACCCGCGCTGCGGGGACCTCTCCAGGCACCGCCACCCCGGCCAGAGCCGGCCCCGACGGGGGCCCGGCTCCTCCCGGAACCCCCGCGGGCGCTAAGCAGCGCCAAGTGCTTACCCGGGTCGGCCCGGCAGGGCTCCGGGAGGGCCGCCAGCAGCAGGAACGCCAGCAGCAGCAGCAGCGGCGACGGCGCATCCTGGGGCGCGGCGGCCCGGGGTCCCCGCGCCGGCTCCGCGTCCCTCACGCCCGGGGAGCGCGCTGCTCCCCCGCCGGCCCGGGCCCCGCGCCCCCGCGCTGCCCGCCGGGCTTCCCGCGGGCCCCGGGGCTTCGCCTCCTGCCAAGCCATGGGGACGCTTCACACATCCAGGCCGCCGCCTCGCGCCGCGCCGCGCCAGGGAGCCCGGCTCTCGGCGCCCGGGTCCTCACCGGGCATCGCCCGCCATGGCCCGGGCGCCGGAGGGCGGGGACGTCTGCGGGTCCTGCCGCGCCCCGGCGGGCTCCGGGCAGCGGCGGCTTCACGCGCGCAGGGCCCGGGGCCGCATGGAGCCGCGGCGCGCGCGGGCCGGGGTCCCACGGGGCGGGTCGCCGCGCGCCGCGGGCAGCGAGGGTGGGACGGACGCCCCCGGGGTCCCCTCCCCCGGGCCGGCTCCTGCGGACAGAGGGGGCGAGGCTGCGGGGAGCTGGGCTGGCGGCCGCGGGGAGCGCTCGGGACCTCCCTCCCGCCGCCGGCTGCTGCTGCCTCTGTGCCCGGCTCTCCTCGCTCGCTCGGGCTCGGTTCCCGCGGCTCTCGGGGTTCTCTCCAACCCCGGCTCCCGGGCCGAGAGTGTTACTGCAGCTCGGAGCGGCGCCTCATTGACAAAGAAAGCACGTAGCCACCCGAGCGGGCGAGGGAGGCGAGGCAGGCGCGCGCGCGCATCACCGTGCGGAGCCACCGCGCGCCCCCCGCTCCCGCGCACCCCGCCGGCCCCGGGCCCGCGAGGGGGGACCCCTTGCGGCAGTTCCGGTGCCGTGGCTGTCCGAGTGGCGAGGCGTCCTCCCCCTCGCTTACCTGCCAGGCCCCTATCCAGAGGGAGGGAGAGCCATCTGCTAGAGGGGCCCAGAAAGGGGGGGCTGCTAATTGTTCCGGTCTGTGAGCTGAAAAGGCCAGAAAGCTCTTCATCCTGCCTTTTGGAAAGTCCTTTGCAGACGCATGGACGCTCTTTGTACTGTTTGTTTACTATACTTTTCTGAAGGGCCAGCAGAAACCTGCACGCGTGCTTAACCCCTCAGGAACCCAAGTAGCTGTGACCTAGTTGCAATAACACGCGGGTAATAAATAGGTGCTGTAGCCGGACCATGTGCAAAGCATTGCAGTACACATTGGGGAAACCAAGGAACAGTCTTTTCATAAGAGCGCCTTCCTGCAGAGAGAATTAGGAGGCCACTAACTAGTCAGTCCAAGTGGCCTTGTAGTAGCAGGATGACATGGAGCAGGATTTTTGATCCAGCAGACGGGGTAAAGGAGTGAGTCCTGCAGCCTTCAGTGGCTTTGCAGGTTTTTATTGGGACTTACCAGGCACACACACGGCAGGCCGGGGGCTGGGAGGCCTGCCAGCCCCCAGCAAGTCTGGGCTCTCCGGTGTTCTCTGGTGGCCTTGTTCTCTGCTCCTCTCGTGGTTCTGCTTCTCGTTATCTTTCGTTCTGTGCTGGCGTCCCCATGACGCCTCCCTTATAAACCCCGTCTTCGCCCAGGTGAATCCACCTACGCAAGTCCACACCCTCCTCCAGGTGTCCACCATCAGGCATGCATTCAGGACCGCAAGGATCCATCAATCCTAATGGCCCGTGGGCAGAAAAGCCTGATACTTTACTTACCCTACAGGCCTCCCTCCTCTTCCCCCTGCCAGGCTAGATGGCCTTAATTAAGCAAGTTACCCAATATCAGAGCTACACACATTCCCTCAGTCTATAAATTTATTGAGTGCCCACTGTTTGCCAACTACATGCCAGGTACTGGAGATATGTGTGGTGGAGCAAAAAGCAAACATTCCTGACCTGAGGAAGCGCAAACTCTTGATTCAGCAAGATTTACTGACTGCCTGTTAGGAGACTTTGCAAACAACAGACATCCACAAAATGTCGGCCTCCCTAGAGGTGGCATTCTGATCCACGTGCCCTGGAATCAACAAATAATAGATGGCATGTGTAGGGTAAGTGAAATGGTCAGGCTTTCGTGCCACTGGCCTCTGTGGCTATCACCTGCAGTCTCCATTGTGCTAATGCAGGAGGTGCTTGGGAGCGTGGGCGTGGGGTATGTGCATGATTGGACACCTGGAGGATGGTGCAATTGTAACAGGGTGGTCCCCAGGAAAGGGGGAGGTTCCAGGTTCCCTGCCCCACCCAAGGGAGGGTGGAGCTTAGCAGGGAGATAAGAAGCTGCAGAGGAGACTGAGGAAGGAAGCAGGATGGAGCCAGAAGGAGACCTGGAGGAGGCGCATGGATCCTAGAGACACGTGAAGAAACTGCGCTTGTCTTTTGGTCGTGAACGGGGTAACACAGATGTGGGTGAGACCCGTGGGGAGGTGACCATGGCAGCTTTTATCTTGATGTTGATTTTGCTCTTTTCCTTCCAGGCTTGTCTGGTTGTTTCTGACCCTTTTCTGTGGGTCCCCACTGGAAGATGCTTTAGACTTGTGGCAGGCTTTGGGGCCTTGCTCTGGGCCAGTCCCATTTGGATGGAGTTTTGCCCACGAGGGGATGGGTAACTTTGGGTGCTTGATTTAGAAACTAGACTCTTTGCCTTTCCTGTATTGTTTCCTAATTGTATTAAAGTTCCTTCCCATTAAAGCCTCTTGTTTTGACTAATGATAAAGGACTGATCACAAAAATCTGCAATCTGCAAAGAGCTGATGAGACTCAGCAACAACAAAGAAAATAATCCAGTCAAAAAATGGGCAGAAGAGCTAAAAAGAAACTTCTCTGAAGAGGAAATGCAAATGGCCAACAGGCATATGAAAAAATGTTCAACATCACTTGTAATCAGGGAAATGCAAATCAAAACTACCATGAGATACCATCTCACACCAGTGAGAATGGCACATATTAAAAAAACTAGCAACAACAAATGTTGGCGAGGGTGTGGAGAAAAAGGAACTCTTCTGCACTGTTGGTGGGAGTGCAAACTGGTCCAACCACTGTGGAGAGCTGTGTGGAGATTTCTGGACCTACTAAACAGAGAGCTTCCATATGATCCAGCAATTCCACTCCTAGGTATTTACCCAAAGGACACAGAAACATCAATTCCAAAGAGCACCTGCACCCCTATGTTTATAGCAGCACTGTTTACAATAGCTAAGCTTTAGAAACAACCCAAATGCCCAAAAATAGATGACTGGATCAAGAAGATGTGGGACATATATACCATGGAATATTACTCAGCATTCAAAAAAGATAAACACATGCAATTTGCAGCAACATGGATGGCGCTGGAAGGGATCATGCTCAGCGAAATAAGCCAAAAAGAAAAAGAAAAATACCGGATGGTCTCACTCATAGCAGGAATCTAGAAAACTTAAATAAGGACCAGGAAAATGAATATAAGAAAGTGAAAATCAAAATCAACAAAAAACTATGAACCAGAGACACTTTTTGGGGGGTGGGGGGCGGGAGGGGAAGGATTGGGGTCAGAATGGGGCGTTTGCAATTGTATGGGGGAATATAAAAATAAAATTTATTATTTAAAAAAAAAAAATAAAGCCTCATGTTTTGTGTTGATGCGGCAGATGGCAGAACCCTATATAGAATAGGCAGGTTTGCGGGATTTGGGCTGCCCCTCTCCCTGCCCTATAACACAGGCACGTGTCAGTGTGCACACCTGAGCCTGGAGGCAGAGGCTGTAAGGGCAGCGACAGGGGGGAGGCTAGGACAGGATGAGTGACTACAGAGGCAGGGCCATGAGAAAACCCAGAGGGAGCCCAAAAGAAGAGTAAGATTGGCCAAGAAGGGGAGGGGACAGGGAAGCCTGCCAGCCTCCTGGCCCCACCACCCCACCCCTGTCTGCCCTGTGCCTGGTTGCCTCACAACAGCATGTCAGCCAGGAATGGTAACTCTGGAGAAAAATCAATGTAAAAAAAAAAAAGAAAGAGAGGAGGGAGGGTTGCAATGCTAAGTAGGGTAAAGGAAGTCTTCACTGGGAAGCTGTCATGTGAGCCAGAACCTGAAGGAGGTGAGGGGATAAGCTACTGGGGAAGAGGATTCCAGATAAAGGGGGCAGCAAGGACAAAAACCCTGAGGTGCAGTAAGTCAGCCAGTGGAAATGGAAAAGTGTTCAATCTCCCTGTGCACCTGTAGACTAGGAATAGCGTGGTGTTTCACCTGAGACTATTTTCTCATATATTAACTTCTTCGTAGCCACCCGAGCAGGCAAGGGAGGCGAATGTGTCTTATCATACACCTAAGATTTGTTGAAATATGGTAATGTTTTCTTAGGTGGTTATTATTTAAGCTGGCTCTTCAATTAAACTAGAACTAATTTAAGAATTTTTTTAAGATTTATTTATTATTTATACAAGCACTGGGTACAGTCAGAAGCACAGGAGGGTGAGAGAATTCACCAGAGCCAGAGCAGAGAGCAGAGCAGGCAGAAGGACCGAAGTACACTGCTGAGGGGAGCAGCGGGCGGCAGGAGAGGTCTGCGCACCATGTGGGACCCTCCTCCAGTGGCCGGGGAGCAACCGGGGATCAAACCAGCGCTGCAGAGGCTGCGGGCAGCTTCGCAACCCAGCGCTCAACTGCTGCGCCACCAGGGGAGGCCCTTAAGAATTATTTTTAAGAAACATGCCCTCAAGTTGAGACAATAAAACAACTGAGATAATCAGTTTGAGACACTAAGGAGAAAGCCAGTGTTTGGTCATGATGCAGGCAGCATCACAAGACAAGGGAGGACGGTGCAAGGTCAAGGGATGTCCCTGGGATGAGGAGGTAGGGCTGACAGTTGGGGTGAGGGTGGGCAAGGTTTGGAGTTGGTCAGGTGTGGAGGAGTGTGGAGCCAAAAAGGGAGACAGGGAGGTGGGGAGGTGGGGGTGAATGTTTGGAGCACTTGACATACTTGTTTAAAGCCTAGACTCTGTGGGAGAAGTGGAAGGTGGACAGGGGAGTTTGTAGAATTTGTGGAAGGGCACTTGGGGCATATTTGGGCTTTTCCACAAGGGAGAGAGAAAGTGAAGAGCAGGAAAATCACTCTTGGGAACACCAATCAAGGGTCAGATTCCAAGTTAAGTTAGTAGCAGAGGGCACAACCGTGATTGTGATGGAGGAAAATAAAAACCCTTCAGCCATCGTGACCTCCCGCCCCCAGCCCAGCCCCAC